TTTGACTTTCCATCCACAGCCCCGACCACAGGCCCACAGATCTGAACTTTATCATAAGGAGCTCATTCTGACCAGCCACTAAACATTTAGAGATTCTTAGATTACTTCTTTCCATGGACCATGATCCTGGCTTAACTTGGCTGTTTGAGAATAAGAAAATGGTTCAAGCAAATTGCTATTACTGTTATTTTTCCAGACTTAGTTCACTTGTATGACAGCTTTTGCTAAAAAAAACATCTTTGGTTTTTCATGAGCTGTGTTTCATGGCTGGCACCTCACTGACCTGATAATACTGAAACTCTTTAAGAACTGGGCCGCTCTTGGAAGCATCCCCGAGGCTAGAGTGTCCCCGTGAAGCTGAACCCGAGGAGCCAGGAAGGAAAGCAGGACTTCACAGTAACAGAATGCTGACCGCATTCAAGCGAAGGAACACAAGAGGCTTTGGGGACTGTTGGTTTGTCCTCAAAGGCTGCAAATACTAACCTGGTATCTAGCCGAAGGTTCAATTATGTCGTAACATAACTGATATTGTGTTGATATTATCTTTCCACCCAAGTACCGATGAACAGCATTAAATCCCTGTGCAGAGAGCATTTGTCAAACCTCAAAATTCTGGTTTGTACTGATTTTTTTCTACAAAGGACACAGTGAGTATATATCATCGAGGGCAAAAAGAGAAAAAAAAAGAAACTAATATAGCCATAAAAGACAGCATTTAAGATAAGAGTGAAATGAGTAAAAAAAGTCTACTTGTGCCTTTGATCACTCACCGTAAATGAGTTGGTTCTGAACCTACTTCTCTTTTATTTCAACATTTTAATCTAGATTATAAGCACCAGCTATGGGAATAATGTGTAAATGAAGCTGGTACTTTCTATCTAAGGCATTCAAATTGCTTGATCAACATCAGTTTTCAGTCAAAGACTGCCATGTGTTACTTTGGATCTTACGATTGTGACCTGTGGGTTTAGGTTTACTGATTTTATTCACCAGCCAAGGGGGTACCACATGGGAATTCATTGTTGGGGAGAAGGTTTAGACAAACAGACCTTGGCCCAAGGCATAATTAACAGGACTGATCCTTCTATACACATTTACCAATGTCTTCAACTCAAATTCTATCCAAATTCTATTTTGACAGCACCAGGAAACTCTCGTGTTTCAGCGTTCTCCAACAAACAGAAGGGGCTTTTGTCATTTTTTAGTAAAAATCCCTGGGACTAGACCTTTAAACCATTTAATTTATCGAGTTTCTCAATAATAAAATAAATCTAGTTTCCTCTAATACTTTCAGTCTCTATGGTCAACCATCGCCCAAAATCTTTTGCGTTTTATCATAAAGAAAGTGCCCCCCCCCACAGGACTTCTTCCCCCTTACTAACACACTCCTCCAACCACTATCAGGAAAGACGGTTTCTCATGTTTTCTTCGTGTAGCGTGTCTGTGTGCGGTCAATCACCATCCACATATTCTCACGGTTTCATAGCTCCAGAAGAGCAATCATAAAAACTCAGTTCAGTATAAAGTCTAAAGTCCCCTTCACAACTGGACCTTATGAACAAACTATCTGTATATCCACTGGAAAATATTCTTTCTGATGAAACAAATGTTTTCAATAAAAGAAAGGCTCTCCGAATCCTCACTCCGCCCTCGCCCTTCCTGTGTGCGCTCAGCATTATTACTACTCAGCACTCGTTTTCGCAGCGGCCATGCTGTACGCTTCTCACCAGAAAAGGCAAACTGGGAATTCCCACACCGCAGTACTGAAAAGAAGATGACCACAGTTAACACAGCCTCGAATCGCAAGTGATTTACATACATCAGCAAAATGTCCAGCAATCAAATTATACAGCCATCTTGTAACCAATAAACCTAGATGGAGCGCAAAGGCCTTTCTCCTCCTCCCTGATTTTCATCATTATCAGGAATAAACTGTTGATTCAGATCTTTGTTCAGGGAGAGAGCTGGGTGGTGTGATAAGTTCCTGGATGTTGAGATGAGTACTGGGTGAAGGCCAGAAGCAGATGGCCTTTCCTCTCACATCTGAGCACAGGCCCTGAGGATGTGCAGAGCTGATTCAGGAGAAGGAGAAGCAGAGGCAGGAAATGGGAAGAAGGCTCCCACAGCACCAGGTGGGGTGGAGGCAACACTCGCAGCTGGATTCCATTTGGAAACCCTTAAGAGATTAATTAGGTTCATGTGTGTGTGTGTGAGGGTGGTTGGGGGGGGGTTAAAATTTTCTCATATCCAACTCCACTGGTCAAATTTGGGCCTGCTAGTCCGGCCTCTAAAACTTGTCTCTGCCTGGGGCCTTACCTGCGGGATCTACACACATCCCCCACTGTGACAAGTCTGCAGTGACTTCAGAACTTCCAGATACTGAGGGATCCAGAAGAAAGTGCCCCCGTCTGGATTCTCCCTGGGGGGTTTGACCATCGTTCAAAAGCCTGAGATCAGGTTAAGGGTTAGGACCCACTGACTGGAAATTCCAGAGCACCCAGCAGTGGATCCTACCACTCCATAGGAAAAAAGTTCTCACAAACCTGCCCACCCTGCAGTCTGTTGGCTCATACACAGGGCTTCCCATGCACCCCAAGTCCAGAGGTATCTCCTGGGTCACTAGCAACTCACCTTTATCACTTCAGTTCCTCCTGAAAGAGGGAGGGAGCAGAACAGAAATAGCTTTACGGTATACCCAGAGAAAGAGCTGCTGTCTCTCCCTCCAAGAAAGCTTCAAAACTAAAAAGGAGATAGACACTATGTGGAATAATTTTAAAAACAAACAAACAACTAAGTTTCATCACTGTTGTTTTGTTTCTCAGATTAAAGTCTCGCTCATAGAATGTTGGGAGTTTCACCAGCCAAAATCTGTAACTATTCTGAATGGGTGCAGCCTAAGCACCTGTCTGGGTTACCACAGATAACATTTTGCATTTTGTTAAGATATTCATTGAAGCTCTCAGTGCATGAGGTCAGGCAGGGTTGGAATCAAAGCTCAGTTCAGCCATATGTCAACTGTGTGACCTCAGAAATGGTATTTTATCTAAGCCTCAGTTTTCTCCTTTGTAAAACAGGAAATAATTGCATCAATCTGATAGGATGATTTGTTAAAATAAATGACATATTGCTTACAAAATGTTTGGCAGTGTTCAGTTTAGCCATGGAAAACATTCTATAATAATAGTTACTAATATTACTATTATTTTGAGAAAGTTATTTAATATAGTCATTTTAACTCTAGATTTTAATATCTGGGCATTTTTAAGTGTATGAGACATTAACTTCAACATATCACCTGATTTTGCATTTGGCTGTCCAATCAATTTTAACTAATGTCCTGAATTTAAAGTAAGTCATGCCACTCTACCTGCCCAATCCTCCCCTTCCCCCGAGGAAGCTGTGTCTCTGCCCTGAATGACCCTCCCTTCTGAATACTTCTCTGAGGAAAAGCAGCACTGCCAGGGGACCACAGTGACCGACTGCATACACATGAGCCACCAACAGCTCAATGCAAAGGCTGTGTTTTCATTTGCAACATCTGTTGTTCCAACTAAACAAATATTCCAAACTGGGGTTTGGGTTCTGAGGAAGTGACTTCTGTCTTGTTTTTACAGGGAGAGGGTATAATTACAATTCTTTCTCTCTCAACCTTGTGCTGAATTTCCTGGGTTACAAACAACAGAGCCACCACTTAGCACCTCCAGGTACTATGTAGACAGTATACTACATACTGTCTCTACCAAACACATTCTCAGTCCAAGGCCTGTGGGCCGACCTGTTTACGCCTTCTGCCTCTGACAAGCTGAGCTACAGTGACCCTTCCAGACTCCTCCTCAACTCCCTCAAATGCAGAGTCCCAAAACCCCAGTCTTACCCCTCTCTACGTACTCAGCTGTCACTCTGTGTACTCAACCTTGAAGTGGCCCATCATCCCTTATCTCATCTCTTCCAATGACAAGATATCTGCCCATCGACCATCAGGTTCCTGCCTTTAGATTGATCTCCAAGGGCTTTATATCCACAGAATATTTCAAATTGGAGTGTCCTGCTGCCAACTCAGCCTCATCTTGGGGCCAAGAACCTCGAAATGTAAGGGTTAATGAAACAAGCATGGGGCGAGTAGTGAGAAAACCTGAGTAGAGGCTTTGGCTATACCTCTAACGAGCTTGGTTAAGAATATCTCAGTTCCTCCTCTATATAAGGAGGAGATGGTCTGGATAAAGCTCTAAATGCCCACCCTGTCTATGTCAAAATACAATATTTATTTTTCCATGTATTATTCATGCAAATAACCAGCAAATAACTATTGAATGTGTAACACTGCAAAGCTACTGTGCCTGGAATTATGACCGATTAAAGATCATCTGCCAAAGAGCTCATCATCTAGGATGGTGAATAAGACAATCACATCAATAACTGCAAGAAACAGAAAGAAATAAGGTCGTAATTGGATGTACTTCTAAGATAAAAAGAATATTACACACCTATAACCAACACGCCAAGCCTGAAACTAATTTTCAACATACTTTCACCAGATGCATTTTCTTTTACATCATTTCTTAAAGTGTGTGCTCTCCACTCTGCACTTAAAGTGACAGGCTTCAATCCAGGCCTTGGGTGGGCAACAATCCCCTATCATAAATTTACCTCCGTCCCCAGCACTTCCCTAACTGTGTGATCTCTCATCAAAGTATGAGAATCACCTGGTCAAGCTGGTTTGACTTAACAACTGCTTGCTACAGCCGCAAGGTGGCTTCCCCCATATTACAGAACGTCCACATCAAATCCCTTTAAAAACTCTGTGCTTCACTTCCTCCCTCCCACAGACAGTGGCTGAGAACAGACTTTGTACTTTGTGCTAGGTGGGATGTCTAAGTCACAAATTTTAACCTCCAAGAGCTTACGTACTGGTCAGGAAGTCGGTGCATGTGCTGAAACACAACAATTCAGAAATCTGAAAACAAGGAGGATACCAGCCACCCAGACAACAGCACTAAATGCTAGAGGCTGCAGGAGATAGCTACTTTCTGGCCACAGTAATCAAGGGAAGCTTCTAGGAAGAGGGCACACCTGAGCTGTTCCTGGCAGTATGGGCTGGACTTCAGGGAGGGCGGCAAACAGGTATTCTGGCCCACGGGCCCAGTGAGACTGAGATAGAGGATGGCAGTTTAACGACCAGCAAATAGTTACATGGGGTTTGGGTGAAAGAATACTTTCTATTTTTTTAGAAAGGATCCTTGTTGAAAGAACTTTATAAAGTACTAGCAAGTTTAGTAGCAGGAATAACTAATTATCTGCCTAAGTCTGACTACAACAGTAGAAAGGTGTAGATGTTTAACAACCTAACCCAACTGTGAAGAGAGAATCAGCAGGGGGGTAGTAGAAGGAGCGCTGAAAATCAGAAAACCTGGGTCCCGGGCCCAGTTTTGCCAAGGAAGGGCTCCAGCAGCCACAGCAAGTCATTTAACCTCGCTGGTCTCAGTTTTCTCATTTGTAAACTGAAGCAGCTGAACTGGCTGACCTGGAAGGTCTCTGCAGTCCAGAACTCAACGAACTGTATATTATTTCTGCCATTAAAACATTCATCGTGGGGGGTGGAGGGAAAGTCAGGTAACCTTTCCATGCAGGTTTCTCTTCTTGAACTAAACATTTCTTTTTCCTGAACTTATCAACTCTATGTATATGCCTCCCACGTCATAAATTTAAAATAACCTAAATAATGTTCTCTGTGTGTGTGTGTGTGCCTCAAAGCCTAAAATTTTGTTTATGGCTCCCAGGTTATCCAAGAAAGTTGTGCAGCCTTAGCCCTGTAGGAGTGTAACCAATACCGCAGCACCAGGAGAAAATACCTCTGTATAAGCCACAAAATGTGACAGGTAAATAAGGGGAAAAAAATGAGAACTCTTGTTGCTCATCTAAAAAGACCACTTTCTTTTTTATTCTTTTTTAAAATATATTTTATTAATTATGCCATTACAGTTGTCCTATTTCCCACCTTCATTCCCCTCCATCCTGCACAGCCCTTCCCCTACCATTCCCCCCTTAGTTTATGACCACGTGTCTCAAGTTCTTTAGATTCTATATTTCCTATACTATTCTTGCCCTCCCTCTATCTATTTTCTATCTACCATCTATGCTACTTATTCTCTGTACCTTCTCCCCCCTTCTCCTCCTCCCACTCCCCTGTTGCTAACCCTCCGTGTGATCTTCATTTCTATGGCTCTGCTCCTGATCTAGCTGTCCTCTTAGTTTGCTTTTGTTTTAGGTGTGTTTGTTAATAAAAGACCACTTTCTTTAATGAGGCCCGGAATAATAGTTACATAGAAGAGTAGGGGGGAGTGGATCCTAAATTTTAGAAAGTCTCTACTTAAAAATGCAGCTAACCTTGGCCAGGGAGCTCAGTTAGAGCATTGTCCTGATGCACCAAGGTTTGGGTTCCATTGACCCCTCAGGGCACATACAAAAATCAACCAATGAATGCATAAATAAGTGGAACAACAAATCCATGTCCTCTCTCTCTCCCTGGTCTTTCTCTGAAATCAATCGATAAAAAAATTAAATGCAGAAAGTTTTGGCACTGAAATTCGCTGTAAGTTTGCTTTTTTTAATGCCGCATGCAGAGGCGCCCTGCTCCCGGAAAGACTCCAAACCCAGAAACCACGGATGCGATTTCACTCCAGCCCTATTGATCTTAGGCACCAAAAGGCGAACAAACCCGGCACGGTGTTCAAGCGAAACAGGCTGGATCAGAAAACTGCTGCTGCAGCAGCAGCCACCCACCCGAAGTTTAAGACAGAGAGGAAAACAGCAAAGTTAACAAAATGCCTAACTTCACACAGGGAATCATAACACAGTTACCAGGTTTACTGTGTAAGCAGCATACACCGGTGTACACAACTTAACACCTGCCCTAAAAGGGCAGGAGAGCGCCCGGACGCCGGCGAGCAGCCTCCACCAGAGCAGGGGAAACCTGGAGAGACTCCCCTTATGCCGCTGTGAGCCAGCGACGAAGTGAAGCTTGTATTCTGCCTGTGGGTCCAGCCCCCCTGGGGTATCCCACGACCAGACCCCGTACCTCCAGCGGACGTACTGCCGGCGGCTTTCAAGTCCACTCTGCAGCTACCTCGCTGCGCTCTCCTGCGGCGCTCACGCCACTGCGCATGCCCGGCCGGCACCTAGGGCCAGCAAACTCGGAATCCACTTGCCGGGTTTTGGCAGCAGCTCCCAGGGAAAAGGATCCCGTCTAAGAGCCTGCGTTCCACTGGAGCGCGCTGGGAGCGGCGAGGGGGACCAGTGGTTGAGCGTTTGGGAAACGTTACCCCCGCTACCCACGTACGCAGCCTTTACCCTTCTCCCCGCTTAAGATGATCACCTACATCTCTGGGATGAGCTTAGCACAGTAGTTCTCACTGGAGTTGTTAAAACGCAGATCCCACACCTGAGTTTCAGATTCGGTTGGTCTAAGTGAGGCTCAACAATCTGCATTTCTAAATTTTCTCAGGGAAAACTGTTGCTACTAGTCCCCACACCAGGCTTTGCGAACCGCTGGTCTAGAGAAAAGGGGATACTTTTCTCTCCCCCTCCCATTTTGGGGATTTCACAAAAACATTTCCTCTTCATTTAACAGCCCCACCTGCTTTAATAATAAGTAAATAAGTACACCTCACACTCAAACAAAGGTGAGATATTTCTTCTAGCACGTGAACCAAGTAAATGGAATGTAGCCCCAACAGTGCTCACATAGTTTGCTAGCGAATCTATTCTTGTGGTCACTTCAGCTCTGCTCCGGCAAACAAAAAGGGTCCGTAATTTGCTTCCCCTTTAACTCAATTTAAGTCCAGTGTGGCTCCTCAGTACCTAGCACAGTACTGAGTACAAAATAGGTACCCAAGAAATCTTGAAAAGATATCAGTAGGGCTGGAGAGATGAAAAGATGTTAAAATTATTTTAGGAACCCAAAGGAACTGGTAAGCAATTAAATATGGAAGTACTGGGCCAAGGTTACGAAGGATGGGGATTTTTTTCCCCTGCCTTTCACCTACAGAAATCAATGGATTTAGTATCCATCTGAGTCCAGATACACGGAAAGAGCTGAATATGTAAGTTCTCACAAAAATATTTCTTAAAAAGTTAAACACACAACTGCCATACAAGCCCACCATTCCATTTGTGAATGAGAAAGGGCTTCTGCAATAAAACTTACCAGTCCAGTGGCAGAAAGTAACCTCACAGGGTGATCTGATCAACTCCTAGCGAGGCAGATCATGGTAAGTAGTCAACCCAGGCATATAACTTCTTTAGTAAAATGTTTATCTTCCCCTTACACAAGCCTTCTCCAGTTGTTCTTTAGGCATCTAAATTAACACACATTTGAAATGCCAGAGTATTCTTTGGAGTATTTGTTCAGACCCCTCTGAAGCACCCAACCTCAAAAAAGCCCATAACCTTAACTCACCCATAATCAAATCCACGCCTCACTTTCTCCCACCTGCATGTAGTTTTCCTTATGCTCCCTTCTTAATTCCAAATGTGTCATTCTCTAGAACATTTGAATTCTTGCTTCCCGGCAATTGTCCTAAGTTTGGCTCACATAAACTCATATAAAGATTCTCTACAGGTTTGGGTGTCTCTTAAATTAACACAATCATAGGTATTACCCAAGAGAAATTAAAACATATGTTCAGCCCTGACCGGTGTTGCTCAGTTGGTTAGAGCATCGTCCTATAAACTGAAAGTTTGCCAGTTTGATTCTAGGTTGGGGTACATACCTAGGCTGTGGGTTCGGTCCCCAGTCAGGGTGCATAGCAGAGGCAACTGATCGATATTTCTCTCACATCAGTGTTTCTCTCCCTCTCTCTCCCCTTCCCCTCTCTCTAAAATCGATAAGCATGTCCTTTAGTAAGGATAAAATAAAAATAATAATAAAGTATTGTCCTTAAAAATGTTTAAATACAGACTTGAACATTTATGGAAGCTTTTTTCATTATAGCTGTAAACCAGAAGAACTCGATGTCCATCAATAGGTTAGTGGATCAACAAACTGTGGTACATCTTTGCAATGGAATACTACTCAGCAAAAGAAAAGAAAAGAAAGAAAAAAAGGGAGGGAGGGAAGGAAGGAGGGAAAATACTCATACATGCCTCAACGGGGAGAAATCTCAAAACCATTATGCTGAGTAGTAGATGCCAAAGACAAATGTGTGGTTTCATTTATACAGAGATTCCGAACCAACCTATAGTGGTAAAAAGCAAATCAGTACTATCATGAATTTAGGAGTGGAGGGAGGGATGGGCTGGAAAGGGGCAGTACAAAATATTTTGGGGAATCATGGAAACCTTCTCTTGATTGTAGTGAAGATTTCATAGGCACAAACTGTCAAAACAAAATCATATATTTTATTTTTTAAAATATTTTTAAATTTATTTTTAGAGAGGGGGATGGAAAGGAGAAAGAGTGGGAGAGAAACATCAATGTGTGGTTGCCTCTCATGTGTCCCCTACTGGGAACCTGGCCTGCAACCCAGGCATGTGCCCTGACTGGGAATCGAACCAGCAATGACCCTTTGCTTCACAGGCCCATGCTCAATCCACTGAGCTACACCAGCCAGGCCTAAATTGTACATTTTAAATTAAAAGTTTGCAACACCCAATTTGAAAAGTTACAAACCCCAGATGTGACTTATAAATGTATTGCTGATAAAACTAAGATATTTTCCAAAAGTATTCCCCAAATATAAAACAGTAAATAGAGCATATCATTAGAAATGCACACCCGTGAATAATAATTATAAAGAAAAGTGTCTGCTGAACCTATTATATCACTAACAATCAGAAATAAGGTTTTCAAACTGTGTTTCCAGGAACCTGGCTGTCACGGAGAAGATAAAGGAGCAGGGCTTTGGGTCAAGGCCCCGTCCAGCCGGCAGACTGCTACATCCAGACTGGGGTACCCTCTGAGATTGTACTTGATAAAAGGGGTCTGCTGATAGTTAAAAGAGCAATAGTTTAGTGGGCACAAGCATTCCAATCATCGAAAGCATACACTCTAGTTGTAATAACCATATCTTTCAGTTTTTCCCCAATAGTTCCAAAAATATTTCTTTATCAAATGAATTTATACCTAAGCATGTGTTTCAAGTGATGGTTGGAAAAAATAAAATCAACTGAAATTGAGATAAGAATAATTCTCTGGCTCTTCTATAGCTTATATACAATTTTAGTAATATGAGAATATTAATAATAAATGTTAATAACATAGCTAAGTTATTTAGCTCTTACTATGTACCAATAACTGTTTTAAGCACTTTAGAACATTTTTTCATTGAATAACCATGACGACCCTATTTAGGTATTCTCTTTTTATAGGTCAGGAAGGCACAAAATATTATTTTTCTCATAGTACAGCTAAATGAAGACTAAAAACTAAATTGAAAACTGTATTTTATACAGCTACAATCTCTGCTGATTTCATACTTTAGGGCAAAGAAGGGTGACCAGGCAGCTTTCTACATCCTCCATCCCCCTCCCCCACACCTTGCCCATCCTTATATGGAAAAAATGAAATCAGGTGCAACATTAACTGAAACAGACAGGAAGTATGAAAAGAGCTGTAGAGAGTGGCAGAGACAGTGCATTGTCCCCAAATAGCTTTTTGTTTATGACATATGGGTAACCCTGCTCTTGGAAAGTTCTCATTATGTCATTTTACTTCTATGAAAGACCTACAATAAACAGTACTTGTTTTTGCTAACTGAAAGAAATCTGAAGAGGGCCTTTGCTTTCAGAAAAAGAAAAGAGAAGAAAAAAGAGCGTCCAGCTCTCATTTTGCAGCAGCCCTTACAGAGGCAGGTGCAAGCTCCTGAGCAGCACGAGTGGCCACGCCCAGCTCCTTCCCAGGAACCGCGCGCAGCAATTCCGCTTCAGGTTGCCAGGGCTTTGGACTGTGTCTGTGAGCATCTCGGTTTTATCTGGGTTCGTTTTTTGTGCATCGTTATCAAGATTGTCCTAAGGTATCAGAAAAGCCTAAGAGAACACATAAGGGTATTACGTTTAGTGTAAAACTCGAAGTAAGTAAGCATATTTGGCATGATTCGGCAAGTTATTTGGAAGGTCTAGGAATGCTAAAAACCTTTTCCATATAAATTAATGGCATTTGGTTTTTTGTTTTACTTCATTTTGACATATGAAAACCTTCCTAGGAAGACTCTACTATTGGATAGTGGTAAAGCCTGTGTTTATGCAGTGGTGGCATATCAAAATAATGGGCAATTATGGACTAGTTAGTACCAGGCACTGGTGGATTGCCCCAGCTTTCTCCTTGGATGCCTTCTTAGATAGTCAAGATTACGTTTCCCAGGTTCACTTTTAGCTAGCAGTCCAGATATGAGTCGTGTAAGACTTGGTTGAAAACTGAATTGCGTGAGAGAGAGGGAAGGCATGACCCTCTCTTGGTGGATTCCTAACCCTTTCAGAGTTAGCAACCTCCTTGACAGGTATTTGGGAGGGTCCTGGAATTCTCATGACAACGTCTGTTTCTCTCAAAGATTCCGTATATAAACCTATCTATCTTAACAAACTGCTTTACTCTTAAACTGGCAAAAGGTACATTAATCCTGAAAAACACACTATCCATCTGGGAAACATACTGTCTTACTAAAAAATGATCAGTAAATAAGTAAGAAAATGAATACAAGGAAACCATAGTTCAAAAATCTTAGTAAAAAGTACAGAATACTTTTAACCTTGGGGTTAACCTTCCTAAGCAGGACTCAAAACCCAGAAGCCATAAAGGAAAAGATGGAAAGATTTGGTGTAATAAAAGTTAAAATTTCACCCTGGCTGGTGTAGCTCAGTGGATTGAGCATGGGCCTATGAAGCAAAGGGTCATTGGTTTGATTCCCAGTCAGGGCACATGCCTGGGTTGCAGGCCAGGTCCCTAGTAGGGGACACATGAGAGACAACCACACATTGGTGTTTCTCTCCCACTCTTTCTCCTTCCCTTCCCCTCCCTCTAAAAATAAATAAAATGTTAAAAAAATTTCTTTAGAGCAAGAACCAAGTAACAGACTAAGAGAAAATAATCTTAGAATGTAAATCAGAAAAGGGTTAACACCTATAATTTATCAAAATGCCCCTGTAAGTCAATAAAAAGACAACCAAATTAAAGTTAATAAAGTACTAAATAGAAAATTTATAGAAAAAGAAATCCAAATATTAATAGTCATATGAGTAGACGTTTGAACTTGCTGGTAAGTGGAGAAATGCATAGAAATATGCATGTATAGATACAAGTGCTTTCCCCAAAACCAGGCAAATCAGAACCTGCGGGGTTAAAAGCTTCCCACCCATATAATTTCAGCTTGTGTAGGAAAGGTTAAGAACTATTGTTCTAAAACACATTAACTCAAAGTATGGTCCTTGGACAAATAACATCAGCATCACCTAGGAAGGAGGAGCTTGTTAAAAATTCAGATTATTGCTGGCCAGTGAGTGCGGTTCCGTTGGCTGGAGTCTCATCCTGTAAACTGAAAAGTCTGGGTTCGATTCCAGGTCAGGGTACACTCCCTGGGTTCCAGGTTCAGTCCCAGGTCCGGGGTGTGGGCAAAAGGCAACCGATCAAGTTTCTCTTTCACATTGATGTTTCTTTCCCTCCCTTCCTCTCTCATTAATTTTTTTAAAGCAAATTATTGCCCTGAACAGGCTCAGCTGGTTGGAGCTGCATCCTAAATACCAAAATGTGGGTATCTGGTCAAGTCACATACCTAGCCTGCAGGTTAGATAGAATCTTTCTCTTTCTTTCTCTCTCTGTCTCCTCCTCCCTTCCTTCTTCCCTCTCTCTCAAAATCAATAAACATATCCTCAGGTGAAGATTTTAAAAAATGCAAATGATTGAGTTCCCTTTAAGGCACATTGAATCAGAATCTCTGGGGCTCAGGACCCTGTTTTAATAACCCCGCCAGCCATGTGATTCTGATACATTCTCAAGTTCAAGAACTCTGAAACCTCTGTGCTCAGGCTTCAGGCAGCCTGTTAGCTAAGATGCCTCCTGTGCTCCAGTGTTTTTGAGTCGTCTGACAAGAGTTTGCCTGCCATGTTTGCTCCACTCTTCCTCAACTACCTGAATCATCAGTTCCTACTTTTGAAATCTAATACTTCATCCCCCTCCTTCTCCTTTGTTCAAAAATGTCACATACCCTGTGTTGCCTCACTGTCATTGGAATGTTCATGAACATGTGAATCCCCATGGACATATATTAAACTTTTGATTTGTGTGCTGTTAATAATAAAAAACAGAGAGCCCTGGCCGGTGTAGCTCAGTGGATTGAGCATGGGCCTGCGAACCAGAGTATCGCCGTTCGATTCCCAGTCAGGGCACATGCCTGGGTTGCAGGCCAGTTCCCAGCGGGGCACACACGAGAGGCAACCGTACATTGAAATTTCTCTCCCTCTCTCCTTCCTTTCCCCTCTAAAGATAAACAAAATCTTATTTTAAAAAAAACAGAGAAACCTCTCTCCTTGAACTTTATTTATATTATAGAGCCATTGGAAGGATAACAGCAGATGAAACTATTTTGAGAAAAATAAAGGTAATGATTACAAATGCAAATAATCATCCCCATGCAAACAAATTTGATATAATCTTACCATCATACTTAACAACATAAGTGATAATAATTTGCTACTGAGATAGAAATCTCTTGGACATATGGGAAAGTAGTCCATGTCCTTATTTCTGATTCGTCTCCAAATATAGTGGAGTCCTAGTTCTGTTGGGTTAGACAAAAAGTTTTAGTTTTTTCCATACGATGGCTCTTGTAGCGCTTAGTTGTCATTAACTTCA